CGCCCAGAGTGCGCCGGTCAAGTGACGGTAATCTGTGTCGAGGGCGGACGGCCTTGCCTCTGTCCGTCCGCCTCTCGAGACGAGAGGCCACTGGGCGCTGGGGAGAGCGGCTCGGTCCAAATCCGCGCCGGGCAATCGGTCCGGGAGCGCTGGGAGCGGCTGTGGAGCCGACGCGCTGACGGGCCGCCGTTTTCTGCCCCACCGCGCCCCGCTCGGGGTTTACTGATCTATTCGAAAGTCGTCTGCTCTCGGCGCGGATCGCAACAGTCACAATCCGGATTTCCAACAGAGATCGGGAGGAGCCGGCGCCGCTCGGATGGAGCCACTTCAGCGGATAGCCAAACTATTCCAGCTGACGAGTGGACGGCCGAGACGCAGCCGGACAGTTTCGTTTGGTCGCCGCGTTATTTAAGAATGACATCAACGGAAGCTGTGCGAGTTGTCAACGGAGTTGTGCGGAAGTGCTCCTCTCTGTCACAGCTGCCGTGAGAAGATGACGGCTGGGGAGCGTAGATTAACTTACTGATCAGTTGAGAATAGACGCGAACGGACCCGGGAAAAGGAAATGCGGCTTAGGGTAGTAGGATACCATTTAGCTTAGGTAGTTTTGCCGTGGGTCTATCTCCAGCTTATCCTAACCAGACAGCGATGTGGTTTTCAGATGGTTTTGCACGATTTATGGATGAACAACAGGAAATGCGAGTGATAGTGCTAACGCCACAAGAAAATACGGACGATATACGGATGGTTCCTCTTCACATGCGACGGAAGTCAGAACTCCAGGGCGAGGAAGGGTGCTTCTGCTCATACCAACGGATTCCAATGATGAATGATGGCCATGCATCGCGGAGCCGACAGTGATGGAGGATGATGGGCTGGGGAGCGGACGTTCCCGTCCTCCCGGTGGAGCGCGGCTCTCCTCTCAGCCACACCACCCTCCCGGCGGAGCGCGGCTCTCCTCTCAGCCACACCACCCCGCCGGTGGAGCGCGGCTCTCCTCTCAGCCACACCACCCCACCGTAGGGCAGGAGATGACAGAGATGGGGGCGCGGGTCTGCGCCTATCGGCAGCGCGCGGCCCGGCGGCAGCAGAGTCGAGATGAATGCCGCGTCGTTGCCAATTCAGATCGCTGCAGGCGCCAGCTCGTCTCGGCTAAATGACGGCCCGGGCGAGCTGTGCAGCCGCTGCCGACAGCTCGGCCTGGGCTCCGGTAGTCCGGGGTGCCCCCCGGCACTCCGTCCGGGTACTCCGGCGTGTCCGGAGTGCCTCCGGGAGTACGGGGTTTCCGGCCGAAAAGCGACCAGCGCGATAACTCGCGCCGTGCACAAACTGAGTGTAAATTGCCAAGATTCACGGCCCAGATAGCGCGAACGATCAGCACCAGGAGGGATAACGAGCCCCACTACCGGAGCTATAAATGTGTGCATCAGTCACGAGCTGGCGCCCTCCCCTCCGCGGCTCCCGGGCCACTCTGGCGAGTTTCATCTGAGGCTGCCGCTGGCCTCGGCAAACGGCATTCCCGCAATAACGGGAGCACGCCGCCGCGGCCGGGACGCCGCATGACATGAATTGGAAACTTTAGGAGCCGTTCTGCGAGTTCAATCTCCGTCGCTCGAGCAGTCGGCGGCACTCGCTCGAAATCAGTCCCAGTCACAACTCAGTCCGAACGTCCTCTCTGGGCACGCCAGCACCACTCGAGCCCGACAAATGCGCCAATACTTTAGTCAATCGATATATCGGAATCTGCGGCAGGCCAGTTTGCGGTGGCGACAATGGATTTCTATATCTGAATAATGAGACCACGCCACTGTAGCAGGCCCGTCTGGTTCCAACGGCCGCAGAAGGTCGCAGCTGAAGCCAAACCGTATGGCTTCAAGGACCGCTCCGCCCTGGTCGAAGGCGGGGCCACGCTGGCAAAGTTCGTTGTCGGGCAGACACGCAGTCACCTGTTCATCCCCCCCCTCCCCGCCACCGCCCACCTACTTAGTAATCCAGTCAGTGGAGCTGTGCGCTGCACCAGCTCCCGACAGTGCAGTGGCTGCTGCGCGGGCGCCTCACCGTGCAGGAGGGGCGCCCCACGAGGGCACCCGCTGGCCCGCCTACAGCCGCCGCAGGAGGGCCGTGTAGCGGTCAGACCGGGGGCAGCTGAAGTAGCCGCGGAGGAAAGGCGCACGCCCACCCCACACATGTCGAGTGCCATAAAGGGAGCGGGTTCAGCCAGGTGTTACCTGTTTATGACCTGACGTGCCGAGTCAGCGTGATACTTAGGCACTGAGCGTGCCATAATTAAACTATAAATCACTGCAGTAAGGTACAACGATGGCCCATTTACAGATTGCAGCGATCATAGGCAAGATAAAAATGACAATGGATGGAACGAATTCCCCATCACCATTACCTAAAATAGGTACCAAATGCCAATTGGATTGGATTGCCGATTTTCGAACTTATCAAATAGGATGGTCTGCTTCTGAGCAAATAACAAAATGAAAACAGGGCACAAAAGGAAAAATAAAATTGCAATACGCAGAGCCATTTCTCCAACCCCGCAGGCAATCGAGGGAAGCCGCTGAACCACCAGGATAAACCTCCAGACGCAATCAATGGATGCAATCAAAGGTCTGATTGAAGAGACACGTCGTGGCCCAGTTCGTTGAAATGTCCGACGACCAATAACTACGCGCGGATCCTTGGAGCTCGCGTGACTGGCCTCTGACCATCGACCACCTTCCCCGCAGCCTGTCCCCACGCAGTCCCGGAGCGGTCAGTCGGCGGGTGACCCGGTGACCTCTCGCCAGCGGCCTCTGTCCCCTGTGACCTCTGCTCACCGTCCGGTGACCTTTTCTAATCCTCCAGGCCCCAGGCGACCCCTATTCAGCATTTACAAGACCGGAGACATTCCAGCCACAATAACAGGAGACATTTTTGCCCATAACATTGCTGTGAAAACAACTGACCCCTGTGTTGCATCACGCCCATAGGCGGACGATATTCATACCACGGAGTGCCTCGCTCACTGCAGACGAGACACGCAGTCCGCAGTCGCACAACCTGGGCTTATCCCCGAGCGGGCGGGTCAGAGACCGTCGGGGTCGCTCTCGCACTGACCGATGTGCGTCCATCGATCCGTCGTCAGTTATTGGCTGTTCCTCTCTGCCGTTAGCTGTGCCCACTCGATCGACAGATCACGAGTGATCGGGGCCGGTCGGGTCGTGGGCCGGTCGGGGTCATAGATCGGTCGAGGATCGGGGCCGCGGTCGGGGTCTCGGGTCGGTGGGGGAGGGCGATCGGGAAGGGTCGGAGGTGATGATTGCCGCTCCCCGCCGCGCCGATGGTCGTCCCTCTGACGGATCACTGCCCCCCGGGCGTCGTATCGCTCCGGGCGGTGGGGTCGCCGGCGGGCGATCTCCCCCGGGGTATTGAGGGTGGGTATCGCCCAGAGCAGTGGGGTCGCTCGCGGCAAATCTCACCCCAGGGAGGTATCGTTCCGGTCGGATAGAGAAGGTAATAACGCCGCACGGAGCGCAGGGCAGCGGAAAAACGAGAAACAGAATGAACAACACTGGTGAGGGGTGGATAAATAAATAGCTGGAAACTGGCGGCAATCAGATAAAACTGGGGCCAACCGGACATTCCAGAGGAGCTCTGTGGTGTTATCACCCTAACCAAAGGAACTACGAATTGGAAATCAAAAGAATGCAATTTGTTGGTGAGCTGCTGAAGTCAAGCAGATTCAGACAGGGACGTCAGTCACCAAACTTGAACTGTGCATTGAACTTTCAACGACTGACAACTTTCAAACTTCCCAGATGGAATGGGATGATAGTTCTAAATCTGCTGACCGCTAGCCGCATCACCACCATAAAATTCCGACAATGCACTGCGCCAACGACGAATGGTGGCACGAATGCGGGATCACAACCGAACGGTGCGGTCACGAACAACACGTGAGGTTACGACCAGAGCTCAGCTGCGGTTCTGGTCACGGTACAGAGTCACGAGCAGTTTTCATGACTCACCATCACTCGAGGAAGTCGGCTCTAATCTGGTGCGACGGCTGGTTCATGCTGGTTTCGAAGTTATATATCAGCTACCAAAGGCGGATAACAGAGTGGACTTAGACCAGACAAAGCACACAATGGCTGCTTTACTATGCTATCAGTGCACGGTAGACTGAGATCTGTGCATGGCCACTGGCCATTGCATTTTCATCGCACGGTGAACAGTAACACACAAAACGAGCCCCTACGACAAAAAAGCTACGTTAAAATAACGAAATAAAATCCAACAATATGATGATGATCACCATAAACCTAATTTCAAGAACATGTCGATAACTAGTAGTAACTACATGTCTTCTTGACTGTTTTTTTTTTAGCACGTGCTCATATCCCGAGCGTCCATTCTGTATGTTCTGTTCACCGGATATTGAAACGTTCACGGCGTGACAAGCCGTTCAGTGCCAGCCAGTCTCAGCGAAGCAAACACGTCTGTTTCTCAGATCCCACAATTCTCAGAGGCCCCCGGTGCCCCTGTCCGCCACGCGAGTTCATGCCCCTCTCCCTCTCTCGTATAAATATTTGGACACGCCACACACGCCTGGCATGGAAGGTCAGCCGCGGTATTTTAGTATACCAGACGACAAACAAAAAATAATATACTGCTGCTGCCGTAGAAAGCGGCAAACAGACACTAACTGCGTATAACATTTCACAGAATGCCAGTAAAATTAATGACTCATGCCACGATCTTGCCCAAGTTCGACTTGCACTCTGATAGAGGCGGTGGCATGCGAGGCTAGCTGCGTGTCAAACCTAGTTATGCAGGCATTCTGACATGTACATGAGGGATGTTTTATAAACTAGCACTTAACCGGTAACCCGCGTCCAAGGGATGGCTTAACCGTTTAACTTTCGGACTAATTGGCATAAGATGCAACTGAACACCCATCAAAACTAGTCGATGAATGACATTCCTCTGAACTATGCGTTAAAACTCACCTTGAAGGCGAGGAGGTACTTTTTGACGGCCGGGAAGTTGTAGGCGCTGACCAGTCCGTGCTCTCCGCCGCGCTCCGGGTGCTGTTTGGGGAACAGCGGCAGCGACACGTCGAACCCCTGGCGAAAGTTCTCCTCCGACATACTGGCCTTGGCCAGAATCGCCTCGCCCACATCGAACATGAGATCCTCGCTGTAGTCGGGCCAGCTGCCGCTGAATAGGTTGAACACCACGTGGTTGCGTCCGTTGTTCCAGAGCGGCAGGGCGCGCACCTTCTGCTCCAGCTGGTGCACAAAGTCGCCACTCAGTTGGTCACGGTCCAGCGTGTCCAGCGCCAGCACGAACAGACACGCCTCGGCCGGGTCGGTGGTGGCCAGTCGCGACTCACGCACGGCGTCCAGCAGGCGCCGGTAGGTGCGGCCCGGCGGCGCGCCAGGGTCCTCCGGGTACACATACACGCGGAACGGCCGGCCCGCGCAGCGCGACACGTCGAAACAGGTGGCCATCCGACAGCGGCGCGCCGTCGTCTCGGCGGCACGCTGCAGCCGGCGCACACTCGGTCCCACATCGGCCGTCTGGCGCGCCGCGCGCCGCCCCCAGCCCTCCCTGAAAGACGCCAGAGCCGACCGGTCTAGGGGCGCACCGGCGCTCCGCCATGGGGCGAACGCGCCGAAGTAGCATATGCCCAAGAAGGCGACGCATGTGACGGCCAGCAGGTATCTCTTTTTGGCCTGCATGGCGGCGCAGCGGGAGGCCGGCGGACACCGGCCGCAGGCCGAGGTTACCGTAACGGGCCCGAGGGTCGGCGGCGGCGGCGACCCGCCATCTCACACCTGAAACACACGGAGGGGGCCAGTCAGGGAGAGAGCAGAGCGCATAAGCATTCGTATGTAACTATGATTTTTTTTTATTTCGCCTTTCAGTGGGCTCTCCCTATTGGCGATATTGTAAAATAAACAAATAAGCAAACAAATAAACATTCGTGGAACGAGCGACACCGCAAGCACACACAGAAGGCACAGGCATACGACGAAACTCAACAATAGATTGAATACAATAGGCCGTCACACACACGAAGATAGCGAGACAGGGATTCACCAAGCTTCAAAAAAGTGAGGAGCGGACGTCATCCCTGTCTGACCACAGGCGGGTACCTGACCTCATCCCAAACAGGCCTGTTCGCGCGTTCACTGTTAAATAACAAACGACTATCCGCGACGCACAATAACAGGGAAAACACGCAGTACAAGCAAAACTGGCCGACGCGACAGCAGAAAGGGTAGGACAGCGTGTTAAGTGAGTGCCAGGTTACTAAGCCCGGGTACTGACACCAAACTACACTGGTCAATTGCCAACTTTCCTTGGAAACGGAACTCATTATAGCGCTGATGAACATTGATAACCCATTCACGAGAAAACGGAACGGTTATGAAGTGGTAAAATTATGTTTTGCCTCAGAACGAAGGAAGACAACTAAAAAAGAAACTAAAAACATGCTCCATAACGACGGAAGGATGCTGATGGTAGGGATATGATTATAATACCTCCGCGGGCAAATTCCAGTACCCCTAAATGTTGCATTTTCCCCGCTAACCAAGCATATTATGCACGTAGGCTCGTGAAATGCATTGTACATATTCCAATTAACTTTAATGAAGCTTAATTAATTCCACTCAGTGCTGCCAGATGGGGAAGGCTGTAATCCTCCAGATCAGTTACAAAAATCCTCCAGATTCCTCCAAATCCTATTGGTAGATATAGAAAGGCGGTCTTGGACGCTGCGGGGAGCTATACCCCCAAAAAAGTTTCACCAAATTCTAAAAACTCGTGGGATTTCGAATCCTTTCGCACTGCTGTGCTCTTTAAAAGATACTTTTTCTTATAAAAGTTGTTTAGTTTTCGTTTTATCTTTTAAAAAAAACGAAAATTTTCGTCGATTTCGGGCGCTACAGGGGTACCGGGGGCATTTGCCCCAAATGTCCCCCTAATTAGATCCGCCAGTAGTTTGGTACCCTCGTAGATATAGCTACAGACTGAGACATTCTGCAGTCTCACGGTAATAAAGGACGTGATATATCCTAACGGGTAGGGTGGCGCTGGGTAGGAAAATGCCTTTTTAGTCTTGAATGTGTTATATTTTTCCATGAAATTGAATATAATAATCGGGCGACAAATCCTCCAGATTTTCCTCCAGAATCAAAAATCCTCCAAAAGCGAAATTTGTCCGCAAATAGAGTTCAAAATCCTCCAGATTTGCGGAAATCCTCCAAATCTGGCAGCACTGATTCCACTCAGCAGTCAAAGTGGCGGTAATGAGGCCACGAGAATCCGCCAGGCGGGCAGCCGTTTCCCGTAAATGAAGGTGTCAGCACGCGCAGCTAAATAATAGCGCCGCGCCAGCAAATATCAATTCAGATTTCAGGCCGCTCGAAAGTCCAGGGCTGAGCCTGATGCTGCTAGCCTGCTTCCTGGAGCCGCTCAGAGTTTCATACTTTAGAGCAGCCAGTGTCATTGCATTTCCATTTGAAGTTTAGCACGGACGGCGTCGCCTTTCCGTGAAATTAGTCTCGCCAGAAGCCGGCACATCATCGGGAGATTTATCGGTTAGGGGAAGTGTGGCGGCAGTCTGCTGGCTGCCACTGGCCAGACGGCTCTGTTCCGATCCTGCAGTTGGCCTCGACTCCCGGACCAGCCTGTCTGCTAGCTTGGGGGGGGGGGAGGGGTGCATCTCAGCCATCGGTAATTGCGTGAGGCCGAAGACGAGTGAGGTGATTGGTATACGAGATTCGGCAACCCGACGTAAGCGCATCACTTTTGTGTCAGCTCTCACTTGAAGTGACCTCGTAGTCCGTAGACAATCGTCTAGGTAACATTAACATCGATGATAGTGCTGATGCTAATGAGGCGTCTGGTTAGAACATGCCCCCGTCCACCCATCCAGAAGCTAAGGACTCAACGCACGCGAGGGAGATCCAGACGAGGTGAAACCTGCGGTCGGCGACAGTTCGCACTATGCAGGAACGTCCCACGCAGTGTCCCATCGTTATGCACCCGGCGTCGACGACCTGCTTTGTCACCGTCCGTTCCCGATCGGCCGTCCTCAACTACAGGGCGCCAACTGCAGCCATCAGTCAGCCGCACAGACCCACAATCAGCTCCACCGCCCCGGGGCACGGCCGGGCCCGCAGCCGGCGACACGGCGCCGGCCGGTGGCTGACGACCTTCCTCAGGGCAACAGCCCGCCCAGCACAAGTAGCACAGTCGGCAGTTCAGCTGCAGTCAGGGACAGGGAGCTGGCGAGGTGTAAGTGGAAACCGACCCGGCAAGCAGCTGTCGCAGAGGAGCCGGTGCAGGGACATTTCTCAATCTTCTCCAGCACTTCGAACCCGCGAGCCAGCAGCGAGGCGGACCACGCAGGGTTCACATGCTGCTGCAATTCATTACTTCAGGGACTCGTTAGATGGGTTGCATGCCAGCGTGTCGTCCGAGAGCTAACGCCCCAAGGCGCTGGACACACACAGTTCAGAGGACACGGCGAGAGGTCTTCAATTAACTAACTCGCAGCTTCGCATATCTAATTTGGAGACATTTCGTGCTAGATTCGCTGGCCCAATCCAGCAAAGCCTTACACCTGAAGTGTCAGGTGAGCAGGCAACGCTTACACATGTATTTATAGTTTGACCGACACAGCAGCCAGCAAGAGCAATTAAGCACACCTGGCCCCTGGGCGCATGTCAATCCATCCAATCTCTCGCAGCGCCTGTCGAAACCGGACCTCCGTGGCTTGGCAGCTCTCAGCGACAACAGTCAACAGCCCGCAGGAGACGACGGGGTGAGATGTGGGGTGAACAAATAAAACAACAGGGAAGTCTCTGGAGCTGTCGGGAACAGCGCGGAGGGAGGGAGGGAGGGAGAGGGAGAGGGAGAGGGAGAGGGAGAGGGAAAGAGAGAGAGAGAGAGAGAGAGAGAGAGAGAGGGAGAGGGAGAGGGAGAGGGAGAGGGAGAGGGAGAGGGAGAGGGAGAGGGAGAGGGAGAGTCAGACACACAGACGCCGGCCGTCGTTGGGAGCGCCGACGGAGCGTCTCGTCGAGCGCGGCGCCGAGCCGTCTCGTCGAGAGCGTCTCGTCGGCGGCCGGTGTCGCCGAGCCGTGTCGACGTCGACGATCGTCGTCTCCGGCGTCCGTCGCCGTTCCGTCTGACGTTACGACTGTCAGCACGGCAGCGCCACCTCAGTCTTACGTCAGCCGCGTCGTACCGGACGGAGCCCATGGTAACTGTGCTCCGTCAGCCGGTTTGGGAGACACCCGCCCACCTCTGACCGGTGGAATGTCAGGGGCGGGGCCGGATGGGTGACCCGGGTCCTGGCCCGGTCACTCGATCCGACCCGGTCCCCCCCCCCCCCCCGGCTGAGTCACTCGAGCGACAAGGCCGGCTGACCGACCCGGTGAGGTCAGTGATTCAGTGGTGCGGGGTGGGGAGGGGCAGTCTGGGCCGGCGGCCAGCGCCACACACCCCTCACCCCTCCCACCGAACCGGGATGGTGTCAGACACAACCCAGACACCCGGCCGAGCAGGCGCCGAAGCGACACATGACCGCCGAACGGGGACCACTTGGTGAGACAGAGAGACAGGGGCCGTGGTGAATCTGTCCAGAACAGACGCGACGAGAGAAGCAACACGTAGATAACTGAGGCTTAGTGATGAAAATGAGCCACCGGATGAAAAGGGTGAAGGAAACTTGGAAAGAATGAAAATGTCATGGTGGCAGCGTAGCAGAATTGACAGAACCAGCCAATATTCTCAGGTAGGTACAGTCGACAGCAGAAGTAATGTGCGGTTTCAGTCACGGGTATGTTCTGCTTCTGAAGCTTAGGAACGATTAGCCAGACTACAATGAAACTTTGAATGTAGCTTATATGTATCATCACCCTTGCAGCTGCAATTTTAGCTATTGACATCTTCTTTTCGATCACTCCGCATTAAACAATCGCCAGTCAAAGCCAATCGTTGAGATTGGTAAAACCCTACATTACTTTAGCGGTGGGCTGTACTTTGATTTTTACGGTCCTACCTATCAGGCTTTATTTGCCATGAGAAACTTGCGAAATGGTCTCATTTCTCCACTGGAGCGGCTGGCAAGGGTCACACCCTGGCCAGAGCACTGCACCATTACGGACACAGCCACCCCGAGGAGGCCTGTATGCCGGGGATGCAGTCGAGTGGGCCCGCCGCTGCACTGGGATAGCGCCGCTGAGTGCTGACCGCCACTGGCCCGACTGCAGTGCAGTGATTGCAGCTTCCACTGGCACACCATGACCATCGCAACACCTCTGATCACCACGAACCAGGCACGAACTGCCCAGATTGAGATCAGCCCTCAATAATTAAGTGAAACATATTATCATAAACCGGAATTAAATAGCGTCTTAGTGACGGCTTGCATGACTGACGATGATTCAAGCTGTCCAGAGATGCATCCGCTGCGGAGGAGGTCTCTCAGCTCTGATAGTCTGGCCGCACTGGTTTGCAGAAACAAGAGACAAAGAGACCGACAAGACAACCACAGAAAGCAGCGCTTGAAAGTTCGCAAACTTAGGGAAACCACGCCCAAGCAGCGACGTCTGATAACAAGAGGGGTCAACAGAGTCGGTCGCGAAAATAGGGACGGAAAAATAACTAAAAAGGCTCACGAGTTTTAACTTTTGTCTCTAACTGAGATATTTGCCAACAAGCCGCCGCTGTCAAACTTCTGGGAGAAAAACAGACCAAGCGGAACCTGAAGGTTTGTATTCGACTGAAGTGCCACAGGCGAGCAAACCGGTGGAGAGTAGAG